AATTTATCTATTTATTTGTGATAAAACAATTTTGTACTTGCGGACCAATCGGTTCCATAAAAGCGAATTTTAATTTTTGTCGTTAAATTCAAAAATGATTGTCAGCTAATATTCACCTCATGAGAAGTTCTATACACTAATACCTTTATATGATATTTAAATTTCATTGATGTTCTGATGAATCTACTCAAAAACGCAATGAAAACTATGAGCGATCTTTTAGAAGAATATTTATGGTGTTATAAATAACCAAAAGAATACTTGAATTTTAAGATTGAATGAACTGATAACAAAGCGTGGAATAAGATCTTATAACTATTAGATGAATTATTTCTTGATTTGGTCAATGTATTTACGGTATAATCCTATTCTGACTACGTTTGTTCAGACTTGATTTTTCTAATATTTTAAGAGCTTTTTTCTGTAAAAAAAGTGATGTGAACGAACAAAAAACTATTAGAAATTTAAAGGTAACTTATGCTTATTTCTTTCTACGCATTGACGACAATAAGCCTTTTATTATAATTACAATCATATATATATATAACATAATACATGGCGGTTTGCAGACATGATCAACTTTTAATTCTTTTCAAGTGGACATCCTGTTTATCGATAAACAATGTACTCAAGATCATTTCCTGCGCTTCAACGAGTCAATTAAAATAATCTACAACTAGAGAAAATAAAACTGAAAAGGGAGAGCGCGATACAACTACTATAATACATGTGCCAGGTTATTTTATGATACAGTTCGTGTTAGATATCATTCAAATTAGTTAAGGCCATCAGGGTCGGTGTTAGTGTAAAGTAACAACATAAGTGCACTTGGCATTTATATATTTTAAAGTATTATATTAAGTGAAGTTGGATCAAAGCAGAGCTCTCCTCTCATTAATAATCTTAGAACATTGGTGTGAATTCTGTGACAATTGATTTGTCTTTTGTTAATAAGTAGAGTACACTGAACGCTTGAAATACTGACTCTGTATCTGATTTCTGAACTCCCTAAAATGTTAACGTTTAAATTCCTAACAAAACTAGATGGGAATATGAACTTTCAAGTTTATTTCATTTACAGAAAGTATGTTAGCACCAATATTTTAACGGATGACTTTGTAACCCTAAACGGTTTCAGATATAATAATAATATCATCAATAAATATCTTTCTGAACTATTCAGTGTAGTGGGCAATCATAATAACTTAATTCCTAGAATTTTTCGTCATTTATGCAATTAAAAGTATTTACATGGAGACAATTATTTCAATGTCCAAGAAATGTTCTTACTGAAAATGATTCAGTATAATCACCTATTGTTTTGCAGATCAGTACACATCAGCATACAGCACCAGTGAGATTTTTTGTCACACCAACTGTTATACAACAGAATGAAGATAATGTGAATAATCAATGCGCTTCCACTTGTCAGACTACTGGTTCATTGAATAAACCTAAAAGGAGAGTCGAAAAACCAAGTTTTTTTATGGTTACCGGTGCTGAAGGTCACTTGATCAATTCGCATAAGGAAAGTGGTAAGTTTTGTTGTTTATTGGAATTTTTGACTCCTACTGGATTACAATAGACCGATTTGTTTCATGATTTGGAGTAAATATATTTTGTCCACTTTTTTAAAATATTATAATCTTACATCATAAACACTTAAAGTAACCTCATGTTAAAGTGTCTAGTTAATACAATTCTGTTAACTTGGTGACCATTTAGATTGAGTTAAGAACTTAATTTCTATATTATTTATGTATGAACATAATTGGTTAACACTGAATAATCTCGTCACCTTTGATGTAATTATATTCCTGTCTGACTTTCATTTACCTCCTTGGAAAATACTCAGTGTCTAAACTTTTAATTTATTGAGTTGTGTCGATGACCTCTAGATTCCTATGATTTTTATACATTCTAGTTAATTCGACTGTTTATTTCTTCCAATAACATAAATTTTAGTCCATGGTTTCTACTTTTCATTATACAAATGAATACTGATAAAATAAATTCATAAGCTTGTTCACCATCACACTGATTATTACACATATAAGTTTCGATAGTTTGGAGGTTAAGTCTTCACCAAGTGGTTTGAAGATCATGTGTTCGATCCCTGAAGAGGTTCTTGCTTGTACACTGCTGAAGAGATACATACTAGTATGAAAAAGCTGTTCAGTGTTTTCAGAGTTAGTCTGTTATATGAAGCCTTAAATAGAACTTTCAGTTGTGTATTACTTTTGAAAATGAAATTGTGTACAAATCAATTGATGATTAGTGCATAAATTGCATATGAAAGCCTCAATCTGAGTTCAGTACTTATATAAACCTCTTTAAATTTTAGATTAACGCTTTGATATATTTATGACAGTTGCATATCTATTTCTTCATGTTTGATGATGTCTACTATGGATTTTTTTTACATGGACACCCGTATACATTTTTTAAATGAATGTGAAATCTTTTGATTTATAATGTAATTAAACTTGACATTTTCAAGTCCATCTGAAATAGATAAGCTAGTCATATATTGTTCAAACGAACTTCATATTCATAACAAATGTGAATTTTATACAACTGATATTCTATATCTACTTAAAGTTATGTTAGTAGTATTTGTTAAGTGTATTTATCTTAACGACTGCTTCGTTTTTTCTTCACTTATTTAGCTTCGACGAATACGTTACACCAATCAGATAATCGCAGTTCAAATTGTAGTCATTTGATCATATGGCAGTTGTAATTGATCATCATAATCATTAAAACAGCTTTTCTTGTGATTTATCAATGTACAAAATTCCAGTCTTATATATATTCTCAAATAATCTTCATCCATACAATTTCCTTTGATCTTTCCTCATTCCTGTTGTTCTCTTTCGTTAGAGCATATTAGAAATATTCACTTAATGTTTATCTAATTTGAACTAAATCAATTCGAACATGTAGTTCATTCAAATTTATGTTTTCTTTAAATTTACATAAATTTTCTTTTCTTTTTTTTGTATATCATTAGACATTTCATCATTTCAACGTAAAATCATACTTTTTTTTCTTATTATTTATATATATATATAAGAAAATAATCAGTGATCCATGCATGTAAAGTACCAATCTAAAGTACATTCATTTTTTCCCTTTTAGGTTACATTGATTAAAACGTATTTATGCTTTTTCATCATTATGCAGTTAATTTAATTTGATTTCTCCCCTCTCCCCTTCAAAAAAAAATTTCACTTTCAATCACTCTTCAAAGAATTACTTTTTAAAATAAAATCAGTATTACTATGTACAACATGAAATATAATAAATATGTGTATGTAAGCACAGTTTATGTTAGTTAACCCTCCTCCCCCCATCCTTGTAAATGAGTAAATGAATGATAAACTAAATCTATCGTTAACATGAGTTTTGCAACCGATGCATATTTTCTCACTCTATCACTATTTTGAATTGGTCAGACGGGTTAATCTCATTTGCACATATGTACATTTTGAATCTTTATTCATCAACCTCAAAAGTTGTTTCAATCTACAGTTTGATACACTCTTATTAATATCACAACGAAAGATAATCGGCAATGTACAAACAAAAGAACAATACTGAACTATATCTATCAAGTTTTATCAGACAGATATCACCGATAGAATTTAATAATCGTCTCGTGAAATCGTTAATTGATTGGTGCGAATAATTATATCCTACCAAATACTAGTTTATCCACTCAGTTTTATGGCATGTTGTTTATGTAAATGATAGTGATAATACTCAGATCCTAAACCGAATTAGATAGTTCGAAGTTCTAACCTGTAACCTACTGGTTAGAAGTTGAGTCCCTTCGATTGCTCCTAATTTCTTGATGGTATCGTTTTAACCCACAAACCTGAAAGTCTGGAGCTCATTTTTTGATGACTTTGGTGAGCACTACAAAGATGTCACAGACAGGAGATACAACTTCACTGGTTCGAAAGCCTTTTCCTTGATACTTAAATTAGGCTCAAAACTGCTTATAACGTAGTTTGTTATAAATTGCTCGTAAGGAACTTGATCTAGTTACTTTAGTAATGTAATTTCATCTGGCATATTCTACACAAGTTTGTAAAGTAGAACTATGTTGAAAATACCCCTGATCGATCATCGAATTATTTTTTAAGATTTAATAATGCACAACCTCATACAATGTCAAACCTGTGACATTCATTTCTCACGATAAAGGCAATATCATTGAATCCACTTAGCCAAAATCCAATAGACTATGTTCTTAATTTCAACAGAATTCCGTTTAAATTTATAATGTACTTCACTTTCATCCTGAGAATGCGCTTCTCTCAAATTAATATTTTTCAGGTATTTTATTTCTCAAGCTTAAATGCCTTAAACAATTCGCTGAAAAGAGCTGATTTTTCAGTAATACTGTTCATGATTCAATTATTAATATCCAACTTCATTCATCCTGACTCAAATCTCAGTGATTAATAGTTTTAAAACTTCGATCATGAATTGTCTAGATTTTAATATCATGTGTACATTGGCTCAATTAATCCAAAAAGCACCATTTCTCCTATCTTTGGAAATTACGTTCATGTTCTAATTTGTGTCAGAAACATTTTACTAGAAAACCATACTAAACTTTTTTCAGAAAATATAATTCTTTAACTGCTCTAATGTTATTTTTTGTGAAAATAGCCTATTCTAAATGCTTTATTTTCTCTAGTTACCAAAGTGATCATTTCTAAATATAAAAACAATGAAAGATATTACTTATTATTGTTATTATTATCCGTTTCCATTGTTCCACATTAAAATAATAGATTTGAATGTTTGTTAAACTTTTTATTTGGTTGGACTAGAAACAAAAACATGTATGTCACATGTAGCTATTGAAACAATGCCAGGAGTATTTGTTGATCAATCCTCTAAAGATGTTTATGAGAGAAATTTTTAGTTGGCTAACGGAACAATAAATATAAGTTCATTTTTAAAACATACAACTTAATGTATGATTTCTTTCTAAATAACTTAAAAATGTAAGTTCTCTTTACAATATTCCTCTTTTAAAGTTCCTTAACTATTTTTGTACTGTACTATCAGCATATTATTTTATAATTGACCCATAGTTTTGAATATATTTTTGAGACTTCCTTGAGTTTGATATTTTGATTCAACCAGTTTAAAGGTTTGTACTTAGTTGACACTTGTCAGTATGTTGTATCTATATTCATAAAGAGACTAATTTTTTTCCCTGAGACTCGAATATGTGATACATTAAATGATATTATCACTGAACTGTTTGAACCACAAATGATCTCGTGTAGGATTCATGTTTACATTAACTAGTTATAGATTAGTAATCCATGTTGTGTTCAGTAATTTTTATTACTGATCAAGACTTACCACTCACGCTTATCCTTAAACAACTAAGCATAATTATTATTAATACAGCCTTCAGTCCTAGTAAATATTCAAATTAATCAGCAATTTCACCTAACCGAATAACTTGAAAGTGTATCAATAAGGAATTGTCTGATCCACATAAGTTTGATAAAATAAAGCGAAATGAATCGAATTCACTTTTTCTTCCCGATAGATACTCTATTGAAATAATAACATCTATTCAAAGTCATAATCATTATTCAACTTAATAACTGTATTTTATCATTCGTTTTCCAAGCTATCTCTGTTCACTCAACTCAGTCTCAATATATTGATTGGTACATTATTTAGCAATTGAATCAACACAAAATGACAGTCATAAGTGAACTTAAAAATTAAAGTGCTGGATATTGTTATGTGGTTTAGTTTGCTGAAAAATTAATTTACAATCTTGGTAATCATCACCTATTGTCTGTTCACGTTTATTCCAATTTAAGGAATCTTAAATAACAGGATCAATCTAACTTATTTTATAATCAGTTAATATAATCTCGGAAAACAGGCTTAAATGGTGCTGTAACGATCATTTCAATTTCTGAAGAAACTATTCTTGTTCACTTAGTTTCGTCTATACAGAAAGTATTACTGCCATAAATTCATATAATTTATAATCGAATGATCATTTGTAAATCACTTTTATTTTCAAATGATATATTAACCCCCACATACTTTCAAGTTTATTTCATTTCGATCCTATTTCTATAACATGAAAAATGGGTTTAGATATATAATATAACGTACAAAGTATATCCAGTCCTACTTAGAGTCCATCATTCTGTTACACCTATATTTCAATTAATGTTTTTAATGAAAGTAAAGCTTATTCTCTATCAGTTTTGATGTTAGAACTATGCCCCTTAAGCTATTGACTGTTGATAAGACATATTACATACTAGAACTTAGACGTGAAGTTTCATTTTGATAACGTACATGATTTGATATGGCTCCATCAACTCGTTCTCTCCATTAAATAGCTATGCTGTGATCACTTATGACCATATCTTAATTAACATTTGACAACAGAACTCTTGATACATTTGATTACATTTTGAATTTGTCACCCAGATAGAATCGAGTTATTCATACGTGAAATTCATGTACCAAAAGTGGATCGATTCAATATATACTACAGACCAAATAATTTATAAGTTTAAGTAACAGCCATTCTAATATTGTTTATATTTGTGCGAGGGTTGGGTTACTTCCCGGGTGCCAAAACCGATGCAAGTGGTTTTCTTAGGGGGCCACGCCTAGAACCTTTGACCCGAAGGTCTGATCCACAAGGTAGTGGGGCAACGTAAGGAGATCCAGTCCCATGGTAACCGGTTACCAACGATTGGTTCATACGCCATTTGTTCCCTTAGGATACTGGAGCCGATGTACACCATTGGTCTGGAATCAGGGTTTTCCAACTCCCTTAGGTGAACTCTCTATGTCCACCAACCCGGATAAATCGCTGGACATTCGCTTTTCGTCCTCTCAATTTCGTAAACAACAGTAATGCCACGAAAAGGCAGTGAGTAGGACTTCCCTGGCATTGGTTGTATGCACGTGGTCATGTGAGAGCATTTCGAGAAGGAGAGCGAACTCTCCCCACTCTCAGCCGCACTAAGGCATTTGGGGACAACATAGAACGTAACGAAGTGATCATGTTCAACAGACAATAACTTGGATTAAACTCAATTCTTATAATAATGATTTAACCATAATATTTATAAGTCAAAGGACTCTAAATAAAACTTGAATGTTAAACTTTGAATTGTTACCATAGTTTTCAGACTTCCATTATTCATGTGAATTGTTTAAAATCCACTAAAGAAATAGTTCAGAAGAAAATAATTGATTACTGTGTATTTGAAAGACAATTACTTAGAAAACTGTATTCAGATTTAATGACAGTCTGCAGATATTTTCTCCTAAGGCAGTAAGACGATGCTTTTGTAGTGAGTATGGATAACTATCTTGTGTAGACTGTCCCCAAACATTTAATATTCGGTTTATATTATCTTGATTTACTTATTACATCATGTAATTTGACGAAGATACTCTAATTATCGTTTAAGACTGAACTGTGTTCTACCTAGTATTATCACAATCTTTTTATGTCATCATATTCATATTTCCTTAAAGAATATATATATATTCACTGAAAATAGGTTTCTTAAGCTGAATTTATTAATTTATTAAACTATGTTTGATTAGAGCCGGTATTTTCTCGTAAATATCCTACTTTATCAAGTAACTGTAGATTGTGAGAATATTCCATTGTTTATTAATAAATGCTAAAAGCTTTAAACGGTACAGCTTTTCCACATCATCTAAATTTAATGTAAAACTTATATAGATCTCACTTATTTTAGAAATCTAAAGAATCTATAAATTACGTTGTTTTATTCCTTTTCTGTAATTAATTTTAAAAGATAAATAAAAATGGAAGATGTTGATTATTCTGTGAAAAATCGTAAATCACAAATAACGAATTTGAACACAGTAAAATTTGAAGATCAAAGTCAATTGAAGAAAAATTCTAATATTCTAAATAATTCAAAAAATATAACAAATGAAAAATTAAGAAAATCGTCAGTAGCAATTCTACGTAATCGATTTTTTCGCAGTAAGTTTTTGAAAATAAAGTCTCTGAATACATTCACATGGAATAATGATGAAAAAAAAATTCAACTTTTAAAACGAGATTACAATAAAGAACATTTGATTTTCACTGTTACATTTTTTATTTCTTCTAACTACTATAAACTTATCTAACTCATGGTCAACGTGAATTTAAGGAACCATTTATGGTAAATTCAGGTTCAAGTCACTATTAAACATATAAGTTACATTCTATAGAGAAATGTTTCGTTCTTCTTCAGCAATTTTCCTGCTAACACATTTAAAGATTTATTATTTCTAAATAGTTCTCAATAATGTTTTCTTTGCTTCAGAGAAACATTTTTATATCAAAATATTGGCATAGAACATCAAAAATAGTATTATTAATGCTATAACTGTGAGACGGCAGCAGATTAGAGGGTATCGAATTATCGATCGGACCAAAGACGCACAAACACGTAGAACGACCTAGGGTTCTGATTGGTCCCGCTTCCCTATCTAGCCCAGCAGTTGAGTCCAGAACGCAAGTCACAGCCTCGGATATATGAATCATTATATTTCAAACATACTTTGTTTATATACCAGTCAAGCAGACCACAACGTACCATAAAATAGAAAATAACATTGTACAATATTGGCCAACAGGAAAATGACACGTTAAAAAAATATTGACCAATAAGATGATACCATTTCATGGACAACAATAGCATTAGGCTTAATAGGATAATTTCTGGGATATTTACCTGAATATCCCAACAATTAAGTACTAACTTTGTTCATTCGTAGACAATGAGGATTGTTCAAACTAATTGTATTTAAACTATTAAATAATTCATTATCTTTTATTTATAAGGGATTATATTTTCCCATTGTTAATGTTTAAGATTATATGTGATTAGTCTTGATTAATATGTGAGCATTTTAAATGGATTCTCTCATTATTACTTGGATTCACTTGTTAATAGTTAACAATAGAATTTAAGGTGTATACCTCATTCAATTCGGAACTCTAACTGTCAACATCTTCATCCTACTTTTGATATTCAAATACAATCAATCTAATCGTACAACTCTACAAAAAGATTCAAACTTTCATAAAACCTGATACGATACTCAATGAACAAGAGATTACTTACTTAATATAATAAAAACGTACATATAAATTTTATATACAACAATGCTTTCTAGTATTGAAAGTCAATCAAAGTAGTAATACCGTGTAATAGATACATATCAATCTAATAAGTAGTGAATATGTCTATGGTATTGTTTTACCAAATGTCTTTCATAAAGCTCCTTGATTAGGAGGTAATTAATGAAGGTATTCAAGTTTATTGATATTCATTCAATCGCTTTTTTAATTTCTTAAATTCTTTTAAAACAAACATGGTTTATACTTGCCTGACTTTGGCTTTCAGGTGAACTACAATAAAAGCTAAGTTAGTTAACCGAAAAAACTTTTAAAAGTTATTATATTGAGAAATTGATGGGGCGTAATCTCCGTTGATGTTCAAATCTTATTTGAAACGTGAAACCGTAAGACTTGAGTTCGTCAGGTCATTTATACGCCAGCGAAATCACGACTTTATTGTTGAACTTAATTCTAGTAAATTGTCATTGGAATAAAAATTATTTCTACTACTTCTATAGAATTCAGATTGAATGAACAATAGGATCACGTAGATGTATTTGGATAATTCTATTGAATAACTTTCTGATGATTTAAGTTACAGGTTTTAGATTTTAGTCTAGCCAGAAGAACAACGTGATCTAAATAGCTATTCTTGGTCGCCGCTTGATAACAGAAAAACCTAAAGGTAAATAGATCGAAAAATGATGTTAAAAAAAATGGTTTAATTCGATATAAACTGTCCATTCAGCAATAAATCTCCGAAAGTCAGGGACACGGTTGATATGGTTACAGCTTTTTTAAAAATCACTTTCATGATGTTTTTTTAATATTTCTTTCGTTTCGTTTTAAAAATTATTACAGCCATCTGGACAACGCGTAACACAGTCAATGCCAAAGATCGAAGAGTATTCATAAGTACTACACTAAGAGAATTATTATTGTATATAGTGTTTTTGACATTGCTACTGATAAGTAAGATTTAGTGCTATGGTTCATTTTTGTTTATTTGATGATTTCATTTATGATGTGTTTTTTAAATATCATTTGCTCCATTAATCCACTACCCAATTTCAATTTTGGGCTCGAAAAGAATTTCCTGTATTTCAAAAATGTGAACGATTGAATCTCAGCCTAGAGCTGAACGTTATAGGTTTGATCGTGTACAGAGTATTAGTTACACATTGTTAAAGAGTTGAAAACTAAGTGTAATGGTACACCAACATCCATGATTAGAATGAGCTTGACAAAATTATCTATGATATTTATTTATCCAATTAATGCTTACTTCTATGGAATCAAGTGATACCGAGAGATCACTTGCTTATATACTCACTCATACTTATTAGTATTGATGACAACTTTACTACTCCTTCATACACGAATATTGGAATATATGAGTAAGATGACAAATCATTTTCTTCATGACCGATGAACCAGAACAAAGACTAAATTAGTTATTCATACGTGTTAGAATTTAAATGAAACTTCGTACCGACATTTATATTGTTTTGCTGAATCATCCGTGAACCATCTCAACACATGTAAAAATGAAATAAATCTGATGTCAAAAAATTCCAAACCCTGCAATTATATTTCGTTAATCAAATAGCATTATTTTTAATTGTTAAGCTTTTTATACTTTTTTTTATCAATCAGTGTTACAGCCAGAGATATTTTTGTGTAAACTGTTTACCTTGAGCTACTTATTACAAGATAAACGACTTTAGAACAAAAGATAATTTCTATCATGAAAAGATGTTAGTTAGATAACTGCTGAAATTTAACTAGTACTAAATAACCATTTGGTGCCTATCCAGTAATCCTTATAAGTGAGTACACATATATTCTTCATATGTGATTGGACTATAAATCCTTAGGTTTTCTGGTAAACGTCATACCATATGGTAAATGCATGAAAACCCAGAGGCCTATAGTTTCAACTTCAGTTATTTTCTGATATACTAGAATCTTTGTTCAGTATAAAGATGGAGTGCACTATTAAGATGTCTCAAAAAGCTTGGCAATACAGTTATTCAATGCTCTTTGGTTTTCAGTGCTTCTTTAGTATTCGTAGTACGTGAATAAACCTATCTTAATATGAAGAGACTATTTGTTCAAGAATTTTACCTATAAGACCGATCCATATTGTTGCTGGATAGTCACAAGAAGACAGGATTAAAGCTTCTTGATAATCACTGGCAAAATCAGTTACATTTTCTTAGTTTTCGAAAGTTTAAAACAGGAAAAGAATGAAAGTGGCAAATGATTTTTAAAATATACACATATGTCCATAAATATCGTTAAGATGTAAGTTCATATAGAAACGTGAAATGAGTAAGTTGTGAAAAATAACCCTACTCAAGTTAAATTTAGAAAACCTTAGTGTTGCTAACAAGTTAGTTCTATCATAGCCAAATGTTAAAGGTTGATTTTATCGAGTTTCGTTCTTAAATAAACTACCTTGATAAGCGTAATGATACTTAACAGTTAAAATCACATGCCAATGAGCACAGCCTTTCTAAGAATAATAGTAAGGATTGTTAGGATATCCAGAGCTCCAGTTTACACAACCTGATCTCAATAGCGGAGGATTTTAACTTACATCATTAATTCATACGATCGTGAATTCTAAATAGATCAACGATTTGATGATTTTGATTTGTGCTCTTAAACGTTTTATTTTACTTTCTCATTCTAGTTTACTTATTCTTATTTCGCTACTCTAATTATATCTAATAAATTATCTTTAATGTAAGTACAGATACTGCATGTTTTAAACTATTATTCAACTTTGTTCTCAGTTGCTTTGACGACTTTAAATTCAATGACATATTTCTACAACACAAGTATATACAATCGGTTCGTAGTAACGGACGGTTCAACAACATCTGATAGTCCACAACCATTTCAAAATATTCATGATCATACAGCTATGTGGAATGTAAGTTATCACTTTTAAATCTTGCAAACTTTTTATTCCTGAGAGTTTTCTAATTAAATTTAATGGATAGTTCAAACTCGGAAAGCTTAGAAATTAACTATTAATTTAAATAAATCTCATACATGGTTATATATTCATATCAAATGTTAATTGTATGGATAAGTTTACCTCATTCTTAACACAGAAGACACCAGTTGTGTTTATCGTAGTAATAACTTCTCTAAAGTTGATATTCCATAAAAATTATTCAATAACTGTTCACGTTTTTTGATGCAATACCCTAAATATCCGATATTTATAAATTTAGTTACTAGTTTAGACATAGGTTCACTCATTATGATTTTAAAGGTCAGGTTTTATCACAATTTTCCTTACTCTAAATCCTAAATAAAATATGTTACAGGAATATACATTTTGTTAAGTGTGGAGATTTGTGTCATTTGACGGTAGTTTTTATCATGGAATAAAATCAGTAGGAGAATCACTGTCAACTAAAACGTATAGGACAATGTTTTTGTAAAATTTGCTAATTCTGAACACCGATAAATGCTAAGAAAAAACTCAGATCATCTATTTTTTCCAATTAGTCAAGAATTTGTAAAAACAAAGTGTAATCAATTCAACGGCGATCTAAATTTCGTGATTAACATCTCGACATTAATTATTCTCTGTCGGGTCATTTTTTGTTATAGTTTACTATTTTATTATATGTTCTCAAGATCACCTTTGTTGTCGTATAAAAAGGTTAGTTGTATTAGACTTTGACTGCTCTCTAGAATAACAAGTCCTTTTACCAAGACCCACCTTCTGCTATAGCGTATTGCGGTATTGGGGGGATCAAGGCTGAGGTGTTGTTATCACATTTTAAAAGCAGCAACAAGGCGGAAAAAAAGAATTGTCTTTCCGATATCTAACCAGTTGAAAATTGTATATTTCAACAATCCCAAACTCTACATGAACTCGAATCCAGGACCTTCATATCATACTAACTTTAGTCAATTTGCGATAAGGTAGAACTATCTTCCAATATCATCTGTGATATCTGCCTCACTTCAAACATAGCTGAACTTTACTGTTCACAATTTCTGATTAGAATTTTTATTAATTAATCATTGGTGAGTATTCATTATCCATTTGATATGTTCCTGATGACTTATTTAATTTGAATAAAAACCATTATCGGTAAAAAAAACAAGCGAAAAAGATATCACGTAGAATATGAATATCTCTTTACAACACAAATTGGCTAATGAACCATTTGTTTTTGTCGCAGTAATCTAAAGACAACGCGCTCTTCATTAAAACCAAATGTTCGATATTCAAGTTCTAAGTAGTAGATGTAAACTACTATAATATGTCCACCTCATTTTGGCTTTCAATGATTCTTTTGTTGATTTCAATCAAAGATAAAAACTATATTTAAATCTGACATCTTGATAATCTTATTTATTTGGTTTTCCGTAATCTCTCTAATTAGTCAAAAATAATTTTTCAGCATTAAATACTCTTTTTTAAAATACAACGAATGCAGCATATAGTCCTTTACCATGAGTCCTAAACTATAGCTCGACAACGATATATATGTATATTTTACAGTAAACAAATAATTGACGTTAATTAAACGTTAGATAAGATTGTGGTGGTCGGTATTCAATATAATCCTTAACTTCGTATACAGTTCGTCCTGATAACCCTCACTAGATAACGCTCCAACGGTGTATTAATCAGAAGGCGAATATAAAGCGTTGATTACGTTTATTATTGCACCACACACATATATCCAAATTTACAGGCACACTAAGCAAGCATGAAATAGTAGTGCCAAGATGCAATCAGGCAAGCGAGTGAACATGATAAATTAGCGAGTGTGCGAGCGAGTCAATGAGACAATGAACACGATTAAAATGTGCATATATATATACATGTGAAATGAATGAATCATCAAGTCAATTAAGCGACTAATAATAAAACTAGCAGAATGAATATAGTGTAGGCAGTAAGTAATGCTCAAGCATACATATTCATACAAGTGCAACAATAAGAAAGATAAAATGATATAGATAAGTTGTTATTGTACTCATGGTCTCTGTCCGTTAAATAAGTAAACAAAAGGGCTTGACCAGATTATATGTGAACAAACTCAATTACATGTGAGCTCCTTTAAGAACATTAAAAATTCAATGGTATTCATGAAAATAATGATATATAATAATCACCATTATTGTAAAACTTATTTTTCAATGTACATCCATGATGGTATGGCTAGTTGGAACTTGCTTCCTTTATTTGTCTCTCTTTAAATGAGAATTTTAATAAAACTGTGACAATTATTTTTGTTTTCTATTTTAATAAAATTTGTTATTATTATTTTTAATAAATTTTTTTTTAATCCTGTTTCAAAGTATATCAATGGTCAATTATTGAATTCATTATATTGGGATGCATGGTATAATCGATTGAATGTATCATTCAATGAAAAAGATTTTATTGCTCATGATAATAAAGTTTTAGGTGTTGCACGTCTTCGACAGCTTAGAGTAGATCCATCACAATGTGATATACCTAAACAAATGAGAGGTGTTATAGAAAAATGCTATCCTGTTTACAGTACAAAAGCACGCTTTACAAAATCAATACAAATACAAGGCAATATCACACCTATTTATACAAAAAATGCGTAAGTTTAAATTATTATTGAACTATTGAATATTCGAAAAGTTATTGTCTTGCTAAATGTCCACTTTTTGAATGAATTATTATATCAGAAAGGGTTTGTGGAGATTTTTTAGAAATTTCACAGGTTGAAATCATGAGTCAGTTGAAACCAGTAGGTTCTTGGTTCGAATCCCGCGGGGTGCGGGACCGTGGATGCGCACTGCTGGGGAGTCCCACACTAGGACAAAACGGCCGTCCAGTGCTTCCAGGTTTTCCATGGTGGTCTAGCTTCAACTGACTTATGATTTCAATCTGTGAATTATTATAGTTTGTTTTCGTTAATGTTGAAAATGTTATATGGCAGAGTTGATCATAAATACTCACATAATGTTTGTCAGAGTTTAAAGAAGAAAAAAACTTTTTCAATAAACAATTGATCAGTCTGATCTGTATAAAGCCTTCTTTTAAAATATCTTTTCAATATGAAATAAACTGAATTTGCTTTAAAGAATATTTATTGATATTTATCTGGAAGTTCAGATGTATGTGAAGTAGGGTTACTGCAAATATCTTTTTGAAAAAACAGAGACTTCTAAGCAAAGATGGATAGTGGCTAGCAGTGGAATCGAGGACACGTGTTTCATCCTATTTGGGACTCGTCAGCTGGATGTACCTGCATTTCAGAGTTGATGTTCACTCTTGGACTCGAACCCAGTGCCGTTCGCTTCAAACGACATCATGTTATCCTTTTAGCTGATGATTTCTGATAGCCGCTTGCTTGAGCAATGATCAGTTGCAGTCCTAAACATCAATGGGAAGATTCAAGCAATCGATACCAAGCAGAAACTTCTGCTTCAGTATAAGTGACTATTAGTAACTGACTCACTACAAAGAATGTTAGACTGATAAACGTATCCAGCTAGTTTGTTTATTACGTCACGAAGGGTAACGAACTTAAAAAATTTGGATTCAAGCAACTACTCGATACACACACTTCAATACTGATGTAACGGAGCAATCAAAAAAGAAGTGCTAGCTTTTGAAAGCATTTTTTCGGCCAATATTATTATTTATTTCTTGTCGTGTAATTGTTTGATAACCGAGCTATTGTATTTCTGTATTCTTCTGATTATGAGGGTTCGTTAGACGTTTTAAATATTGTTCTACATATTATTATTCCTATATTACTGCTTTGTCTTGATACGTTGTCAATTGGCAACTTAGTGTGCTTAATTTGATAGTCAACTTTTAGTAATAGGAAATCATATCCCTGACTTTCTTAAAATGACAAAGATGATTTAATACCGACTCTAAATGTCTAGAAGATTTCACTTTAATTTAAAAGTACGAGAACTAGACCTTCAGAATACTGAAACTAGATGTTTGGTAGTTACCTTCATTTGTTTATGAATACCTGCCTCATTAACTGTTTCACGCGTGAAATAAAGTCAGTTAAACGAAAGTTTAAGTGCAATATAAAAATCTACTCTTGTTTTAAATTTTCATTGTAGCAACGGCTTGTAAGTTATATTAGTTTTGAAGGCGGCTTATGTTGAAAACTGACATCACCAGAAAAACATCTATCTTGCACTAATTTATGACGTCTTGGTAGTAATCATCCAAAACCCAATATGGATCCTTGATCTTATTATTTTTTTTATACTAGTTAACACTCCTAGATTGCTACGACTGGAAGAAATCATTTTAACAAATTATATTTATTAACTGAGATCATGAACTGACCAATGTAGGACCGCCACTGAAAATCTCGAAGCACTGGACAGCCGTATCGTCCTAGCATGAGACTCTTCAACAGTGCGCATCCACGATCTCGCACACGAGATTTGGATGTAGAACCGTCAGTCTCGCGCGCAAATACTTAACCTCTATACCACTGACCTGGCATTCCACGGTGTTAGTGTCTAACTTCTACAAATCTACGATATTGCGCAATCGTCCTCGATTGTATTCATTAAGTAAATGCCTCACACCTGACACAATTGAAACCCACTGGATTAGTTGAAGTTAGACACTAACACCGTCAGATGCCAGCTCAGTGGTAAAGAGGTTAGGGGTTTGCGCACGATACCGACGGTTTTGGGTTCAAATCTCGTGTGCGGAATCGTGGATGCTCACTGTCGAGGAGTCCCATACAAAAAGAGACGGCTATACAATGCCTCCAGGTTTTCAATGGTGGTCTGACATCAATCAGTTCATGATCACAATTAAAACTCAACAATCTCCACAACCCTATACTAAAAATTTTGATTAGTTTGTAAGATGAGTCTGAAAAATTTAATACCTGGAATTGTTGAAAAGTTTCTAAAGATGATAATATATATCTTAAAAATGAATTGAAGATACACGCCAAACTATAGTATGATAATCAGGAGCATTTGAATTATAGTGTAAACTAAGGATTTCAGAAATAACCCAATTGAATTGATTAGAAACTGTTGTCTCGCAAGGATTCTGAGTTTCACTTAACTCTGTACTGCTATATGACTCTTCACTGTCTTTTGAAATCGTTGAAAAGGATAAATGATCATTATAAATACTCAACTTAATAGAATTAGAATTGCAAAACTTAATATTATTTGCAGCAAGATGAACAGTAGTATACAAACTGACTGAATATGTCAAATATCACCACATTTAAAGCACTTAGAATTACGTAATTTACATGAATTAAAAGAGTGGAACCTGCCACAGGACAAACATTGATCAAACTTGTTCCCATCTTGGTGAACTGCATCACAACTCCTCAATGAATTGTCTGCATAACCTTGAGTATGCACTGGGTTGAGGTGACGTATTGCAGTAGAATTTTTTATATCCTTATGAATCATTTTACGAAATCTTCCTTTACAGCAATCAAAATTTGTATACTTAACACAGTCTAGAAGTAGTTCCTTGAGAGTTGTATAAGGAAGCGGAATGGACTTTTGCGGTAAAGCCAGAGTTTTTAATGAGCTGTATGATTCCTTTCCGATGAATGTGAGAAAGTGTGCCACAATATTAACATCGTCAACATCTTCCTTGGTCATAGCCCAGATTTTGGACCTTTCCAAGTAATCCTCAAAAGCATCGAAATATGAATGTATGTCCAACCGTTCCATCACAGGTCAATCGCGGGGTCAATATGATAATTAGGAGTATTTGAATTATAGTATAAACTAAGAGTCTGAGAAATAACCCAATGGAATCAAGAAGTACTAGACAAGCACGAACAAATTTACTGTATTTGAAATTCAAAACCAAACATTCAACAAGTATAAAGGAATCATTAGTTCATTCAAACATCACATATAGCCATGATTATGTATTGTACAAAATCAAAAACAACAACATTTTTCTTTGTATAAAAAAGCATTTAGTTTGGCTGTTATTGAAAAACATGCTCAGACAAGTTTTTGTACCTTTGGCAGATTAACACATGACAGTAACCAGCTCTGAAAGTGTCACCTTCAAAGATGAAAAGCTGTTGTTCTGTGTGTTTAGTAATATTTCATAAATGTGAACAAATAAAACAACTTGTACACAACTAATCCATTGACTGTTGATGAAACGAAAACGATACCTTTAAAGTGAAAGTAATCACATGTTTCTTGATATTATTTTTACTTATCAAGTTTTCAACACTTATTCGGACGATGAACTTGTCGACGCTAAAGTTAGTGAGCTAGTATTCCAAAATAATATGTCATTAAATTAAGTGTTTATCTGATGTTCTTTTATCTGTTCATAATTTTTTTCAATAAAGATGGAACTTTAGTGATTCTGATGTGACAGGAGCTACCAGTTATTCTGCACCATATGGTTATTATGATGGTTCCGGTTATATACAAGATTTGTCTAGATCAAATGATGAGACTGTAGCCATTTTAAATGAGTTATTTCAAGGTCGATGGATAGATCAATCAACTCGTGCATTGTTTATTGATTTTACAATATATAATGCAAATGTAAACATATTTGTTATAGTAAAGTAAGTAATAATGATTTTCGTTCTAAAACGATACAATAATATTAATATTTATATCCAGTCGTTTTTCGACATCTGGCAAATCTCTACCATTATGTTATCGACTTTCTAGTTTTAGTTGTCATGACTTTATTAAAAGTCTGACTAGTATTTCTTTTCGCTGAATTCAAATTTCACGGAAATCATGAACTGATCAAAGTTGGACAAAAATTGAAAAGCTGTAAACACTGAATGGTAGTCTGACCTTTCAGCAATATGCACCACGATACCGCAACTGGTAGTCAACTCCAAGAACTTCGGTCTCACGTGTGAACGCTTGACCTTTAAATGGTGTTAATGTCTTACTTCAATCAGTCGGCAACATTGCGCGACCATCTTTAATTGTCTTCTGTGAGTACCTCCACACACCCCGCATGGTTGAATTCAGCTGGTTACGGCTTGTCGCTAGGACTTCGAAAGTTTTCTCTTGAAGTCACTCGCTGATAATCACATAAAAATTGTTAAGTGCATTTTATTCCCGTGTGCAGCGTCATGGATATACACTTCTGAAGAGTCTCATAATAAGATGAAACGACCACCCACCGCCTCCAAGTTTTCAATGGTTATCTAACTTAGATGGGCTCATGATTTTAATGACATTCAACAATCGCCACAACCCTATACTGATAAATTTTATTGTTACAACTCTGAACGTAGTATCAGTGAAAAAAAGTTAATTTGGATGTTAAGGTTTTATAGATATTTTTCGAATCAATTACTGGACGTTTCACCTGGTTGCATTTAAACGTTTTGAGCTTATGAAGATAAAAATGTCTGTGTTGGGTTTAGTTAGGGGATATAAATGCCGGCTCAGTGGTATCGAGATTAAGCCTTCGAACGCGAGACCGAAGGTCATGAGTTCGAATCCCGTATGCGGAATCGTGGATGCGCACTGTTCAAGAGTTCCATATTAGAACGAGACAGCCATACAATGCTTCCAAGTTTTCAATGATGGTCTAGCTTAGATCGACTCATGAATTCAACCATTAAAATTTTGTTATTATAATGAAAGTTTAACCCGACCGTTGGGCTTGTCTATCATGATGGAGCAACCGAGCTATAGTGGCCGGAACAATCGTTCCTTAAGGTCCTACCATGTCAGAAAGGTCGGTTGATGAGCGGTAAGACTAAAAGCAACAAACACAAGGTCCGAAGGCGAAGTCGTACTGCTGACTGTACAGAGGTGTGACAGCAGTAAGGTGTTTCCTTCAGACAACCATCATGACAGCGATGCTGCCTTCCCACAAGAAGGGGTGTGGTTAGAAAAGGTGGATACTAAAAATGAACACCTCGCCTTATCCCACGGATATCCGTCTTCGGCGGTAAGGTCTCAACAAGTACGGCGCTAACACGAAAATTACTCATAAAAAGGTGACCGACCTCAAGCAGTTGTCCTGTGGGCACTGCGGTCACGTTCTCAGGTCTCTAAGATCACCTCTAATCCAATTTCCTTTTCAGGCACCTCCAGAAAAACCCTTCCACGGTGTGGGCAACCGAGAAGTGATAACCGCCCTCATACCTCTAACATCACTCAAGACCACTGACTGATCAAATTTGAGTTTCATACATTAAAATGTTATCATTAAATTATTGATCTCAGTTAAAACTCAACAACTTCCACGATCCTATACTGACAAATAATTATTCTTTTTAGCTATGCAGCTCATCAATCAGCGACTAAACAATTATAGAAAGATTAATAACTTCCACTAGTTTGACTAATTTTGTTTACTGATTTATTTATTTAATGGCCTTGATCATTGGCACTAACATTTCCAAATTCAATTACATTCTCATTCGCAATTTCGACGTTATAGCTGGTCACCAAGCAAAATGAAGTGAGAATTATTATTTGCACTATTGTAGTCCATGATAGAATGTGTATTTCATTCCCTGTCGATTTTGCTTGCTAACGTGAAAGATGTTAAGTTTTCTAAGATTAAAAAACTACTCCATCATGGTACATACGTTTCAAGTTTGGCGCAGTCAGTCATGATGGAACAGAAATTAAAATAGCAAAAGTCATACCACCAATCAGTTATATAATAGAAATGATTCCAAAATATCTACAACCGAGTGACTAAATAAATGAAAGTATAATGATAATTGCTGACTACGATATATTTGGATGACATGACAACGTGGAATCTATGCCCGGCCAGCTTAACTATTCGTAATATTAATAGAATGTATAGTTTTTTATCCTTATTTTATTGCTAATATGTAAAATAATTGTAAATTGAAAATATTTGTACACTTTTTCCCTTAAAAAAATATTACAGAATCATATTTGAAATGCCTGAATCAGGTGGATTATTTGGTAGCACTGTAGTTCAACCAGTTAGATTATTTCGTTATCAAACAGTGACTGATTACTTTGTTTTAGTATGTGAAATTGTGTATTTGGTTTTTCTTGCCTATTATATTATTGAAGAGATACTTGAGGTAAATATACAAAACTAATTTATTTTGCATATTTTGCATCTGGTTTAAATTATTTATTGTTTACATATAATACAGTTAGTGAAATCATATTGAAATATCTAATAGCTTTAAGATAGTTTTCATCAGCGAAGATCAACAAAAAGTCGAAACATACTAGCCAACTTTTTCAACCTTGTTTGAAATTTCTTAACAAGTGCACACCTAACTCATGATCATAAATCGAATTCAATTAATTTAATTATTGTTTGATTGTTGGGGTGATCCAGAAAACTTCCCTCAAAAGCCAAGAAAGATTCAGGAAACACTAAGAAGCATTTTGTCCAATCAGCGTTCACTAGAAGTTTAGCCGGAAACGTCAAGAAAGTGAAAAGTCACATGTAGAGTTTTTGATTAGCTGATTACTATGCTGATACTATGTTTAGTAGCATTCCCGAATTTTCGGGAAACCCAAGGACATCCTAAATACTATAAAAACTCTATATTTTCTGTACTAAAACGAACCTTTGCATTAAAATGCTTCTCGCATAGTTACACCTCTTCTCTCGTGTCCAGGTTGCTGTGTAGTTCTAGCTTGGGGGTTACGAGAGTAGCTTAGGGACCGAATATAGCGTTCAGTTAGCAAGACTTATCATTGATAACTTAGACTATTAAGCTGTAATTCAGTAATCTTCATTCATGATTAGATGAAAGGGTAATCCAATTTCATCTATAATACCTATTTCACTCCTTGGATAATTGACTCTTCAGTAGTCATGTAAGCTTGTCATGGCTATATGTTTTCAATTTTTCATCACAAAATTATGTCATCTGAAAGTCATGGAAAATTGAAGGACCCCAAGGAGCTCTTCATTTTAGTTCGGGACCCTTCTACAGTGATTACACATGATTCTGAAAGGAATCAATACTAAGACCTTTAGGTCTAATAGATGGATGGATTGACTTGGAAAATTATTTGTTCCCATTCGATAGATACAGCTTACAATCCAATGTGTAAAACAGATTTCAACAGTATGTTTCATTTATCGTTTCCTAAAGCAATTCTAATTGTGTTAAGTTCTTGAAGTAAGACTCAGTATTTTACAATGTAATGCCACAATGGATAAATGAGAATAAATGACTAGTTCCTAACCAAATTTATGGATCAATCAATCAGCTTACTGATAACTGTGGTTGACTATTGATGCAGAATAGATAGAATATGACTAGCAGTGGGATCAAAACGCGCGTATCGTTCTACTTGAAACTCTTCAGATGTTTGGCTGGTTAATTGTATTTCAATTTCTTCAGTACTTGGATGCAATTAGAAGACTGATAGACTACTGATAAATTAGTCTAGTTTCTTCTGAGTCACTTTACGTATGGTATACAAGCCAAAAACAAGTTCATTTAATCTTGTAAGCTGAGTAATCACTGTGAATAGCGAAATTCAACATTTTTGAAATTGACTTCCTTACATGTTTACATTTAAGTAGAATAATACAAATCAATACGTTTAGTAAAAATATTTACACTATGTGATCACTATATCTGGTAACATGGAATAAGTTGACGAAACGGCCGTCCAGTGCTTCCAGATTGTCTATGGTGGTTTAGCTGCAATTGACTCATAATTTCAATCTATGAAATTTCTAAAATCTCCACAAACCCCTTTTGATCATAAAAAAGTCTTGATTGTAGAATACCAGCATTTAAAATCGATTACTTTGACATCTGAATACAGTTTTTATCAAGACTGTTTGCTGGAAAGTATTGGAAAACATTTTCTTGTTAATTTTGAATTCCGAATTATTGGTAACTCTTAACCGCTCATGACACTAAACGCGCGAGTTTTAGAAACCACAACTTGCAAAATATTATTCATTCTGTATCATTGTTTTTAATACAAACAATTTTTGTTATAGGGTAACTGTCATCTAATGTCTTTCATTAATAACTATCTCAATTTCAGTTTGGTGAATGTTTACAGTCCGCTTCTAAAGTTTTGGGATATCTATCGTTATAATTATAAGTAATAACTCATTTATCTCATTAGTTATATTCTAAGATTTATCAAATTTATTGAATAGAAGATTTCTCACATATGGTTTCAATTTTACATAGAATTATTCTTGTCGGTTCCATTGAGTTTAATGGGTTATCTTTGCTTCTTATTTTATTATATCAACCTTTCCAACCTATTTAGGGATATTTCCTTTTGCATTTCAGAAGAGGATAAAAATATATCCACAATCAATTTAACTAAACTGTAATCATCTACTCAACTAATGATTTACGTCGAAATGAACGATAACCTGTGAAATCAGTTAAGTATGAAGTGTTGTAATCAATCATCAATGGTATGTAATGATCATCGTGATGCATTACTAACTGTATGGAGTTAAGAAATGTGAATCATTTATTTCTGACTTAATGCTTAAACTGTACACTGTGGTATATAAAAGAATTAAGTTTGATTCTTTGTGATTGTCTGGAAGCCCAACACTGAACAGTTCGTTAGTATTATAGAACAAATAAAACCGAATTGGTTTAGAGACTTATAAAGACTGGGTTTTTTTTTAAATACTTCAATGTTTAACAAGTTATATTAAATTATCTATAAATGTTAGTTGAAGATTGTGTTCCTACACTTTCTTTCATTTTCATTTATTCCCTCCCTATTAGTTTTCAGTTAAACGTGGGAGATATTTTATAAATATTTGGAATTTAATGGATATTACAATGATTGTAGCCAGTATAATATGTGCAGCATTTCTAATATATAGTACTATTATTGTTTCAAACAATATGTCCTCATTAATTAATGATGTTTCATCTTATCCAAATTTCGATTATCTTGCTTATTGGTATAGTCATCATATAAGATCAATGGCAATTTGTGTATTTCTTGGAATAATCAAGGTTAGTTACATTCTGTTTCATTAAAATTAATTTGGTTTTAGTTAAGAAGATCATTTATGTTTATTGATTTGATTAAATGATGCATAATTTAACGTATTAAGATGTATAATGATAAAATTGTTAAAATTATAGTTTAAATGTATTCCATTGTATTTCGGTTAATTAACAACACGTTAGACAATTAAAGGCTAAAGTTGTTATGTATAAGAAATATTTACTTGAACTGCTTCATAGTAGATTTTGATAAGATTGTCTGAAAAAAAGATTAGAGCTTCACAGTTCAATTTTGCAGTTCAAAGAACATAACACTTGCGTAATTCTCTTACCGAAATACAAATATTCTGCATCTCATGATCATACGTCAGTTTAAACATCCGTGTACATCAAAAATAATCCATTAATTTTTAATTAAAGTTCTTGTAAATAATCAGTTCGTGTCGTTTTTAAGCTTTTAAACCGATCGATCAATTATTAAACATCGATTTCATGTTATCCAATCCTCAATAATGACTGAACACTATCAGTCAGGTTGTAACATAACCACTAGTCTCAGTGACTCAATATTACAGTTTATTTAGATTTTTACACCTGTAAATACAATCCATACCAGTTGGCACTGGTCAGAGTAGAATATTTGCAAGCATGAAAGAACTGACGCTCCATAAGGAGTATAAACATACACTTCCAAGTTTCAAAGTTAAAGAGATTACGACTGAGTAATTTGAACCGTAACTGACCTCTCATAGCACTAAGATATATCAATTTATCACTTAACAGTAACTAGTGCCATGTTCAACTACCTCTTAGTTTCTATCAAATTGCACCAATTAACTCTCCACATAACCCCTAGAATCAGTAACTTTATTATTTTAAAGAGTTTTTTTTATTTCAAATGATTAATGATAATTAGAAAGATATTACTATTATACTAAATGGAACTATGAAGTTTTTCAATCGATAAGTTTGATATGTACATTAATTGTGAATTATTTTATTTCACAGATTTAAATCATGAGTCAGTTGAAGCTAGACCACCATTGAAAACCTGGAAGCACTAGACGGCCGTTTCGTCCTAGTATGGGACTCCTCAGCGGTGCGCATCCACGATCCCGCACCACGCGGGGCTCGAATCCAGGACCTACTGGCTTCGCGCGCGAGCACTTAACCATTAGACCACTGAGCCGGCATCCAACGGTGTTAATGTCTAACTTCAACCAATCCACGAAGTTGCGCCACCATATACCATTGTCTTCAGTGAGCTGATATTTCACAACAGACCTGGTTGTACTCCACAGGTGACGGCTTCCCACTAGAACTCCATGAATATCCCTTGAAGTCAGTCACTAGTGAGCAGATGATTATTATCAGAAGGGGTTTGTGGAGATTTTAGAAATTTCACAGATTTAAATCATGAGTCAGTTGAAGCTAGACCACCATTGAAAACCTGGAAGCACTAGACGGCCGTTTCGTCCTAGTATGGGACTCCTCAGCAGTGCGCATCCACGATGGATGTACCTTCATCTCAGAGTTGATGTTCACTCTGGGACTTGAACCCAATACCGCTCGCTTCAAACGCCATCGCGTTATTCATTCCTGACCACTGTCCATCTTTACTTAGAATGCTTTTGAATTAAGGCAGTATCACAGGCAATACACACAGTATGCACATATGCCAATAATAAAAGACTGATCAATTGCAATAATAAACATCAATGGTAAGGTTCAAATTCATTCGAAATTCATTTCAATCTACTTTTTTCAAGGCAAATAGTTAGAAACATGTATGAATTATGAATGAGCCATTTTTATTAAATAAATATAAATGAAGTTTTCTCTAATTCTGTAAATAATCTTTTTTTCTGAATCTCTTGTTCTTTTCCTCTTCGAAAAAACAGATCTTCAAATATTTAACGATTGATCGTTCATTAAACCAATTAACAAGAACAATGAGTGTAGCTGCTTATGATTTACTGGGATTTTTAATTATGTTTTGTATTGTGTATTTTGCTTTTGCTCAATTGGGCTATTTAGCATTTAGTGCAAGAACATTAGCTTACAGTTCATTTACTCAAACAACGTAAGTATTATTATCACTATTATTATTATTATTCTAATAGAATTATGAATCAAGATAAAACTGTAATTGATTCATTACATAATCTATAAACATTAAAAATTCACTATTAGAACACTGTTATATTTGTTTATCAAATATACCTAATAATTCAGATGGACTGTAACCATGATGTTAAGTAGATCGAATAATATAACGGGCTTTTTTAATGTCAATGTGTCAATGGACGAACCAATCAGATATAAGATTTTGGAGAGAAATTCATTCACCTATTTGGTTAAATAGAGTTTTGGCATTTTAGCTTATGTCGATTCGTGATGAAAATCCAAAATCTATTTCCCAACCTTGATCGTCAACTGTACATCACAATTCTAATTCCTCACATTGCTTTGTAACCTTTATTTAGTCGTACTTAGTAGGTAGACATCTTCAGGGTCACTTAAGTGTTGCTCAAAGGTTGTCAGTAAATCAGTCTCACCTTAGTATCTAGTTGGTTGAAAGGGATAGACAAACAATATTATAAATAGATTTTTCGTTAGTTAGCACTCATATTCTACTTGTTCGAGTTTGACGACCTGTGACAAATTTCAAAACAACCAAAAAAAATGGAAACTATTAATGCCACTTCACTTGGTATTGTTTTACTTGAAACGCGGATCCAGGATTGCACTTCTAGCCACAATCCATCTTTGCTGATAATGCTTGTAAATTAAGGCAATATCAAGGCAAAACACACAGTATGCACATATGCCAATAAGAGACTGATCAATTGCAATCCTAAACATCAATGGGAAGATTCAAGTAAAACAATACCAAATGAATTAAACTTCACCCCATTGGACAAGCAAGTGGCTATCAGAACTCAGTAGCTAAGTGGATAACGCGGTGGCATTTGAAGCGAATAGTCCCAGAATGAACATCAAATCTGAGATTCAGGTACATCCGGCCGACGAGCCACAAATAAGGCGAAACGCACGTCCTGGATTTCACTGCTAGCCACTATCCATCTCTTTTTAATGCTACTTCTTGATGTTGTTGATAATGATAACGATATAAGTTGCATATATACTACAGGTTAGTTTAAATGAATTTCCAGTCAATACATAGATTAGTAGTTACAATGTAATGATTAATCAGATCTATCTATCAACTAAAGTATGACCTAGGAGAACGAAACTCTCTACTTGAGTATCAATGCTAGTTTACAACAATCTAAAATTTATAAATTGTTTCTTAACGCCAGGAATGGTCAGAAACTCATTATGATGACTTAGTTGGTTATTGAACTAATTAGATTAGATGGAGTGACCGAAATGATAACTTGTTTATATAATGCAGCCTCATGTCGAGTACATAACAGAAACAAAATAGAATTGCAGTGAACAAGAAAACGAGTGGGGACAACCAAAATGTATTTGACACAAAATTACAGATCATTTCACTAAAATCTGAGAACCATATAGTAAGTCGTTAATTTGCAAAATATTAACCCATCGTCTCAAACTTGACTGTTTCTCTTGGAAATATCAGTCCATTGTCTCAGATTTCAATGTTCCTGCATTTTCATACCAATTGTGTTCCGTTCCCGTTCCTTCCTTATCGACCTTCTACTGAAATACATTTTATGACTGACCACTGTTATATGCTACTTATGTGGATATAAGTAACCCACACCACAATATTATTAAGGTGTATTTGTAAATGATTTATTCTGAAATATACCTTAATGTTCTCATCTAAATATATGAATACTGATCTTATATTAAGTCCTCATGTCAAATTTTAAAAAATGAACATTATGTAATAGTAGTAATAGTAACGTTATTCAAATTGAATATATAAAATTTGACAAAAGTTCTTTGTGATGTGATGTTCATATTTACAATATTCAAACAATATTACCACAATAAGAAAGCTGTTTATTCGATGTCTACCGATAGTTTTAATGAATAGTCTTAAACATATAATTTTGGGAGTTCTTTCACAATTCTTATTATTAATAGACTGTCTTTACAGTTTCAGATAAAATTTGTTGCATACAGATTGAATCTTCATTTAATGAACTTAGTCTTCATTAGAACAATTCATTCAATTTAGGTGAAATACAGAATGATGAATACATTAATCATTGATTATATTTTCTGTAAACAATCATTTACTTACACTATAAAACATATTACTTATTTTAAGTAAATAATCATTTATAAAATGAGATAGGGATTTTAGTTTTATGAATAACGAAAGTTGTTTGATATTTAATTATTATCAGAAAGGGGTTTTGTGGAGATTGTAGTAATTGTGAGTCGATTAACGCTAAACCACCATTGTAAACCTGGAAGCAATGAACGGCCGTCTCGTTTGAGTATGGGACTCCCCAATAGTGCGCACACACGATCCCAGTCGCGTGATTCGAACCCCGGATCTTCAGCTTCGCGCGCGAACGCTTAACTTGTAGATCACTGACCCTGACTTCCAATAGTGTTAGTGTCTAACTTCAATCAATCCACGGAGTTATGCCACCGTCCACCATAGTCTTCAATGAGTTACTATCTTACAATAAACACGGTTGAACTCCACTGGTCATGGCTTCTCACTGTTACTCCAGGAAATACCTCTTGAAGCCAGTCGCTAGTGAATACATGATGTTTGTTATCACAAAGAGGTTTTGTGGCGATTGTAGTAACTTAAAAGTTGAATTCATGAGTCAATTAAAGCTAAACCATCATGAAGGAGTTCTATACTAGGACGAAACGTCCGTCCAGTGCTTTCAGGTTTTCTATGGTGGTCTAGGTTTATTCGCTCATGAATTCAACTATGATATTTGATTGCAATATGAAATAATTTATCAACTCAGAAACCTTTTACAACAAATTCCATTTACGCAGAATTTTAAAAGTTCATCAATGATAGGATTGTCAAGTATGCCTGACTATACAATGAAATTAGTTGAACTTTCTTACCTCGTCACCGCCTATTTCTTCATTTATGATTTTTATTATAAAATACTACCGACCGGTGAATCATTAAAAACCAAAGAAGGACTGGATGTCTTTTTTGTCCCATTATTATAGAGTCTTTTTTTCAGAATAGGTCTATGATTTACAATGAACAAAACTGGATTTACATCATAAACTGACTACATTTAAAAATAAGAGCTGTTAGATTCCAGCTCAATAGATAGAAAGCATCGTACTCGTCAACTGACTTTAATATCCTGATTTTAATCCCATGTGAAGTAGTTAGTGCCCACTCATGAAAAATAAATAAAGGGATATCGTTATTAACATAGAGTTTGTCGTAGGAATGGGTTAACCAGAGTCGCCGTACCATACTAGCACGATAAAATGATAATAAGAAGACGAAAAGCAAACTAATCTAAATAACGTTGTAGTAAGGAGAATTAGTAATTATTGGGATTATTTTTCTAAAAGGTAAAGTAAAAAAGTATACGTGAAAGAATACTGAAATTCAATGTAGAGTGAATGCATCTCTACGATTGTGACTGATTCTGAATCATCCCGTTGAAAGTTTTCAATCACTGGTCAAAGTTATAACGAACATTTCAATCAAAGAGTTTGAGTTTACCAATATTACTTAGACCACTAATCAATAACTTCATGATCGAATATCAAATATTGGTTTGGCCGCGATTAGCCCTCTTCTAACTTATTTTCATACAAGTAGGTGTCTTCCATCTATTTAGGTGGTGGTTAGGAAGACATTAAGCATGTTCTTACCGTCTCAATGTACGAAGACATACAACTTCATCGACCAATCCCATAGTATCTCATGTCTAACCTCAACATTGATCACTTTGTTGTTCCACAATAGAAAAACAAGATTTTCAAGATTGTAATGACCAAACTCCTGTGGCATACGCAAATTTTCTAATTGCAAAGACCATAGTTCACAACTGTAAAGTAACACAGAGAGGACGGTTGCTCATTAAACACTCTCTTTTGTTGATGAAACTTCCAAGACACGTAAAGTGGTCAATACACTCAAATTAATCTATATCCTTTAATTAATATCTGGGTTTTTTTATAATGAAAGTTACATTTTAAATTGAATTTGCTTAAAAGACCAATTCAAACAACAGTTCCTAACTTGTTAATATGATCTTCCTCAATTTATGAACAATTTTATTCATATAGCTATACACTTAATAATTTAATATTGAATAAATATCTATCTCTTTATTTATTTATTTTAGTTATTCATTATTTCGTATAATGGTTGGTGATATCGACTTTCCATCTATTCTAAAAGCTCATCCTGTTTTAGGACCAATATTTTTTGTGACTTTTGTTTTCTTTGTATTTTTTGTTTTATTAAATATGTTTCTTGCTATTATTGATGAATCGTATAAAACAACAAAAGCTGAATTAATTCGACAGAAAAATGATGTAACATTGGGGCATATACTTAAAAAAGTAAGAAATTATTTGATTAATTTGATTATGTAATAATGCAATTATGTACGATTGGATACAATTTAATGTGATGTAATACAAAATTAAATGATAATAGGATTTAATATAATTTTTAAAATAATGCATCAGTAAATAATACCGATAAATTGAATAAAGTAGAAACACACAGAAAATCGTATATCACTTGTTGACATCAACAGTCAATTAGAGCTAGATCATCATGGAAAACCTGGAAGCACTGGACGGTTGTGTTCGTCTTATTGTAGGACGCCTGAGAAATGCGCATCCACGACCCCACCTCTTGGGATTCGAACCCAGGGCTTATCAGTATCACGCGTCAGCACTTAACCACTAGACCGCTGAAAATCTTATATTTACAGAAAGTTAATGAATTCATCTTTAACACTGAACTAAAAACCTGAAAATCTAACTTGTGTTTTTATCACTTAATGTCAAATTCATTTAAAAACCTACACATTTCATCAAATAGTTGAAACTAGTTAAAGAAAACTTCAAAGATTTATTCTATCACATATTCGAATAAAGTTAGTTACTTGTATATACTACCAAAGAAGAAGTAATATACTTCCTAAAAACACTTAGACATTTGTTATGAATGAGTTCATAACGATCTCAGAGTAAAATATTTGACGATCAATGTCCTCAATCGACGATTTCTTATTAATCTGTATTGCGTAACCTTGGAAATAAACATGTTTTAAAGGATTCGTTTTTATTAAATTAATTATTTTATTCATAAAGTACGTTCTGAAATTCTTCTCTAGAAATGATTTGTTTTTTAAGTATGACTGATTAATGTACTTTTGAACAAATTGATTTTTGTCCAAAATTCTTTTTTTTTATTGATTATTAGAAAGCTAAAGATTTAGCTAAAAGAGTTCAAAAGAAACGATCTAAATCGATTGTTCGTATATTACGAGAATATGGATTGATGGGTAAAGAAAAATTACCCTATGAAGATTATCGTCAAGCATTAAAAAGGTACACCATAAAAATTAATTAATTAATGATTAACTATTCAGTTTTTGTTTGTCTGTTTAATCTTATTGGATAAAGTTAATATAATAATGGTAATTTAGAATGTACGGTCTTATTTCATCAATGAAATTGATGATTTTTGAAAGGGGGTCACGAATTTCTTCTGTACACATAAATTGGGGTTAAATGTACGAATTCTTATCTTTAGCTATATGTAGGAGACAGGGACGAACTCCGTAGGGAAATGCTTCCGACTTATCTACATTATAACCACTATCGATAAAATATGCCCAAATAGAACTTCGTATTTTTTTTATCTGGCCCTTTATATTTCTGAAAGGAAACATTCTGTTATCATCATCACAATTTAGTGATAATACGTATTGTAAATAGAAGATAAAAGAATTTATGCTAGAATTCTGTATAATTCTGTCAAATGCATAGTCTTTTGGCCGTTGTGATAGAATAGAGCTTAAAGATTTAATTATAAGATCCAGATCAAAAGCATTGAAGTGAAAAACAAAACATTACCATAACTACCAAATTCACTCCAGACTGACATATTCATATCATTTTGGTTAATAATCAAGATCTTATAGAACTTCTAAAATAGAACAACCTGCTCACTAAAGTACTGAATGTAACAGATTATTTCAATTTAGTAAATAATCAGCGCTACCTACTTGAGCACGTATTCTAAATTAGAATCATCATAAAAAATCTTACTAATAGGAAGTAGTTAAATCAGAATTCAATATTTTAGACTTTGATAAGTGAGATTAATGTTTATCTATTTCACTTATTAATTTATCCTGCTACATTGTATGAATAGTCTTATTTGCTGTTTAGTTTAATCTATCAGAATAGACTATTCAGTCAACTTTATATTGTAATTTTAGCGTAGTTGAAGATGTGTACAAATAGTCGTATATTCTCTGCACAGTATTTCTTTAGTCACAGGAACACTACGATCATTTAATAATCCTGTAACTTGACGAGAATTAAGATAAAGTTTATTAGCTCACTGATCATCTCGAAACTAAACGACAGATTATTTCAATACAATTTAAACTGAATAATGCATTCAGATAATGTTGAAACCTAGTTGTTATTCAATCTGATCAAATCTTTTTATTTATTAGCTCATACATTATCAAGTATGTTCTAAAAAAAAACATTTTCTGGAAATTGTAATTACTTGAACACTCCAACAAACTGTTTAAATAGTAGTTAGGTCTTTAAAGTTTATTCTAATTGAATATTGTACTTTTCCATTCCCATTTTTTGTTATTATCGTACCAATAAATCAATAAAGCCATGGATATAGTGAACCAGAAATTTTTACAACTTTTGTGAAATACGATGAAGATGGTGATAATAATTTAGATTTAACAGAACAACAACAATTAGCTTATGAAATTGACTTGGGTGTAAGTTTGAATGTAATTATCATTACAATTTATTAGTTCAGTTTTTGGTTAGAGACTAAATATTCAAAAAGATATTTGATTACTAAAGTTGAGAAAGATTTTACCGGTACTCAATAGGTTGATAATGAAATCAGAGTGAAATTCAGTTAGATGTAACTAATATGAACTCTAAAATTATAATACAAATTAGATCCGCAATCGTAGAAGCACCTTACTGATTAGAATTCCAAAGTTATCATACAACAGCTTATTGATTCTTGGCTTTCTAAAGGTTTACCGACTGATTTGTATCTTGATTAAATTTATCATAAAAATATATATAATACGTGTTAAATGTTCACTATTGTGAAATACTGACTTATTGTCTTTAATTAGTATGTAAGTAATGCATTCATATATGTATTTGATTTCTTAAAGTTTGAAGAGGTATTATTTCTTTCCAGTATAATTTTGAACTGACATCCATTCTAACAATAGTGAATCACATCAAATGCTATTCTTGATCGTCATATTATATTGAATGCATTTTTCTGAATTATAAATTATTGGATGATTCCCATCGCAAACTGCTGAAAACAAGGGAATATTTGATAGCTATTTAGTTCAAGAGTAAAAATCCCCAACAATACTCACCGACGACCATGTACAAGATTAAACCCATGACCTTTAATTACAGTAGTGAAAACAGCAATATGGAACTACTAAGCTGAAATCTAATGATTCAGATTTTCAACTTTAGTTACTGATTTCAGAATAATTTTCCAGAAGTTCCGATGGGAAAGTAACAGATGGAGTTAACCGTATAAATGAGTGAAACAATTTATCTGCCATTGTCTAATGTCCACATTATATCATTTCGAAACTTGAATTTCATGAGTTCAATACCATGTGTTTTGTGAATGGTTACGATCGTGGGGTTTTGAATTAAGACAAAACAACTTTATAACTCTTCCCACTCTTTTGTGATTCCCCAGTTGATGTCGATATTTGATGACAATTATTTTCAGATTGTAAAAATGTTTCAACAATTTACTTTTGTAAATTATTTCTAATGAGGCTATAAAGCACTGTATGTTGGCACACGTACAACTAGATACAAACATGCAACAAGATCTGTTACGATGAACTGTATTACTATACTTAGTCTGTCTATAGATAATCTTAAGAAGTTGTTTCCTATTGTTTAATCATAGTTTCATATGAATCATCTTTTTTCTTCAAAATCAAGGTAATCTATAAAATTGGAGAACCAGTTGATGAAGGGATTGGGACAGATGAAGATTCCAATGGAAATTCTGTTAAGGATGAAGATAATGTAGGTTGAAGATGATTTCATATTTACGTAATCAGTGTAGTTTTAAAAAGATGTAATCTAATCATGAGAATTTGAGTGAAGATTCATCTTATACTATTCATATACTCCCAAGATAATTGAAGTGGCCGGTGTGTTCAACTACTTCACTCCCTATCACTAGTTTAGGCGGTGACGCAGGTCAAACCTGAAATAGCATCTTTCATTTGAAAGAAAAGAACTTCACCCCAAACATTTTGCATTGTCGCGCAAGGTGGCCAGAAGACTCTGCATTTTATCAGCGACTTCGCCAAACAGATTTGTATCATCTGCGTATTTCTACTCAGCAAGTGAATCTCCTGGTAGAAGATCAACTCCTGAAAAATTAGACGATGGAAGTCTTATCTCTAAAAGCACGTCTATGAAGAACTTAAATAAAAATGGAGAAAGTGGACGACTCCAACGACCACCACTTGAAGTAACCGATTCAACATAAGATTTGATTCGATCAGTGGTATTCGAGTAAAGAGCTTGTACAAGGTTATTGTGCTCCTTTGGTATGCCTTTCAGTGACAGAAACTGACATAGAACCTCACGACCAACAGAGTCGTATGCTGCCTTAAGGTTAAAGAATGCAACTATAGTAGGACGTCGAAAAGTATATCTATGTTTCAGAATCTGCCGAAGAGGGAACATTCGGTCCATACATCCATGTCCAGGTCTGAAACCAGCCTGGTTTTCTCGCGTTCACTCTTCAGGAGCTCTAGTTAGACGTCGAAGTATTATTGAGGCTAATATTTTAGAAACTATATTAGTTAAACTGACTCCTGTGATTGTCATAAGAGGATTTTTGTCCATTCTCATAGATTGGAACGATCGGCGATCAAGGCCAGTCAGATGGGATTATATCCAGCTCCTAGATTCTGGCTAAGATCTCAGTCAATCCAATATTTGAAACTTGGCCACCAACCTTGGAAATCTCATGGGTTAATACATCAGACCCCGCTGCTCTCCTACGCTTTAGGTTACTTACAGCCTTTTCAACTTCACTAAGAGTTAGAGGACTTAAATCAGTTTGTCATTCAGGTTGATTGGAAATAGTAGGTAACTGAAGTGTGGCTGAAAGCCAGTTGAACTGTTTCCTTAAGTGTTCTGCTAATCAGTTCAACCTCCTAGATTAAGAGTAAATAATAGTTCCATCTTTTTCCGTGATAGTCTTACTAACAGCCGTAATAAGTCTGAACAGTTGTCCACTGTTACTATCGCAGCTGCCTTTTCCACCCCTTCTGCTTTCGCTACCCACCACTGCTCACGATCACTAAGTAGGTTTTTTATCAACTTACTTTTAAGGTGTCTCAGCTCTTCATTGTGTTCAGAGCCAGATGGGATAAGTTCCCGAGAATCTATCATCTCTGTAGACGTCGCTGAAATCCACTGATTTTTTCCTAAACTTTTGGTTTAAGTTGCTAGTAGATATCACTGCTGTTTCCACAGCCTTTTGAATAACATACCAAGCTGCCTCAAGATGGATATCATTTTCACGATTGACTAACTTACTCTCGAGTTGTTACTGAAATATATTCCCAGCTTTTTCATCAATAAGTTGGAATCTAAGGGGTTTTCTTGTTGTGGCCTTTCTATGTCCAGTAAGACGGAAACAAATACATGCTCGAACTAGAGCATGATCTGAGTCTAAATATGAGCTGCAGTCTTCAATTGACCCCCTTCAACGATGGCTAATGGCGATGCTGTCTATTTGAGTCCATCGATAAGTCGATTGTGGAAGTCGCCACTTTAGACAATCTTTCTCCCTGTGTTTAAATTTGGTGTTTGCCAGAAATAGGTTATCTGAAGATAGTTGCAAAGGACGGTTGCGATTATTTGTTCGCTGAGCCGCAACACAGTAAGATCAGCTTAATTACCTTTCGGTTTGGTTTGACATTAGAATCACCTGCCACCATACATCAGGGTGTTTAGGTTTTTGAATAAGTTTGGATAGCTTCCTATGAAATTCATCTTTAACTTCGTCCGAGCTGCAATCATTGGTTGTCACTTCTCCGCTGTCCACACTGTGGTAGTATATTTCTTTTTGGAGGACCTGAGGAGGAAGCTGAATTAGTGGTGGTCTTAGTGACCCGGAAGCGTGACCCCTGAACACAAGGGAAAACTGCTTGAGACTGGCAGCGAACGGCCTTTTTATGGGGTGTTTTTGGTGAGTAAGCTCCGACCTTCAAAAGGCCTTACTGCCTGAGACGGAAATCTGTAGGGTAAGATGAGGTGTGATATTTTTAGGGTCGACTTTTTCAAATCCTTTCTCTCCGTTATGAAAAGACAACATCACTGCCGATGCTGGCGGTCCTCAGGAAACACCTTACTACTGTCACAACCCCCTTCAATCAGCAGTACGACTTCGCCCTCGGCGCCCAAGTTGCTTCTTTTACTCTTACCGTTCTACAAGTAACCTGCTCGGTATGTTAGGACCTAAAGGAACGTGTATTCTAGCCAATATAACTCGGCTGAGTCATCACATTGGGCAAGCCCGACCACCTCGTTAAGGTAGCAGCTACGATAGTGGAGAGAATATAGTACTCATTTTAAATCCTTATAGGCGTCACACAGTTGAGTGTGTATAAACAGTCACATAATATTTGTTTAATAATTCACAACCCTTAGAAAAAAAATAAAATAGACTTGGATAATACAGGATACGATACTAATTACGTATCAGTCCAACTTTCTTCATTAAAGAAATTCCTAACCAAAAATTGTGCATTTGTTTTAATGAAAAGAAATGATAATGATTACTTCGAGATGGTGGGGAATATTTGTAGCTCAGATGAATGTTTTTGATGGAGTTTTGTTCTCTGATCTGGATGATTTGGTCGTGGAGCTTTCATCATTCTTCTGAACAACATCATCAGCACAAGCTTCGAACACTTCATTTTCTACCTGAAGTTTGTGCTGATGATGTCGTCCAGAAGAACGATGAGAGCTCCACGACCAAACCATCCAGATCAGAGAACAAAACTCTATCAAAATGATTACTTTAAAACGAAATAAAGGCTTAAAAATAAACTAAATATTCAAAAGAATTAGTTTATCAATTTCCTTATTTATATTTTGATATAAATTGCAATTGAATAATCAATATTATTAAGTAAAATTATGTTATAATTATAAACTATTTCTAAATCAATTTAGTATGTTGATCCTGAAGACTATAATGAATTAATTCAAAATGTTGATCTTATGGAAGCTACACTTGTTTCAATTATTACACGTATAGATGAATTATTAGCAAGCCTAGAACAAATTGAGATAGCAAAACGTGAACATAGAATACAACTTAGTGGAATAATTAAAGATATGGTAAGTGATAAATGTATTTATTCATGAATGATTCTGTTTTTAATGACAATATTTATTTGTATGGATACGCAAATTTGTATACTTTTCTAGATAATCATTGACTACCAAGTGATAAAGATTATCATTTTATTTTAAACTACAGTGCTGATCAAACATTGTCAACTAATTTTGAAATGTGATCATTAGTCTAACTAAATTAATGGTTCTCAACTCCAATTTAAATGACAATTACTGAGGCTACTTTCTACTTCTTTCTTCTCTTTCCGCTAACTAGGGACAAAATTTGAAATAGTCCAGAACATCTATGCCCGTAACGAGAAGGAATAGTATCTAGAATATAACTTTCACGTATACACATATATTTACGATGCCCTTAAGGACAGGGTAACAAAATGAGATACTAAAGCATTAAAAAAGCAATGAGACAAATGAGTCCTTCTAAGCGGAGAAAACTGACAACGTAGGAAATTGCAAAGACGAGTTGTACAAGTTATTTTGAGAATCCAGTACACCTAACAAACTTTTGATATCCTACTTTTTGTGTTAGCGGTTAACGGTATTTGGAAGGAAATCTTTGATCTAGACTGATCTATGTATTCGTTCTTATTTAGAAATTCTATCTCAACGTTCAGGAAGAACAAAATCCTATTGTTTTAGCATGTAAAATACTTTAATTGGTCGTGCTCGCTGGGAGACCTGAAGGTCGTACCTTCGATACCTGGCTGAAGAGTCATGGATATAAACTGTTGGAAAGTAGCATCAGTACACTAATTCCCAATAGCTGTTTGGCTCAATTCACTTAAAGATGCACACTGCAAATATCATATAAAACGAAAAATAAACTGCTTATTTCGATTTTGATTATTTTTAAGTAAATGAAAAAGGAACTAGACCCTGGATTCAGCACTCAAACATCAGTAGAAATACTAACGGACCAAGACGTAGGTGGATCTAGTTGATGGTATCAAGACTGAACTGTTATATAGTATCAAATATAGTGAAAATATGATCACAGGTGACAAGGATTCTTTTTTTTGGTTGAGATCATGAATCAATTGATGTTAGACCACCGTTGGAAACGGTTTCCAACGGTGGTCTAACATCAATTGATTCATGATCTCAACCAAAAACTTAACAATCTCCACAACCCCCATACTGACAAGGATTCTGTAAAAAAAAAACGTTGACAAATGAATAGATCAGTCATTCCAGTTTTATAAAAATAATATAGGGAAATAAAGATCCATCTTAACATTAATGGTGTACAACTCTAATAATTAAATCCAGAGTGTATGTATTTTTATATAAGGTACTAGTCAAGCTAACGAATCCATGCACTTACATTGTGGTCGATTATAATTAAACCATCACTTATTACTTTAAATATCCAATCACTGTTAATGAAGACATTAATTTCATTGCATACATTCTGAATTTAACATAAT